AACTGCTGGGCATGAGCCGTGCCGCTGCGTGGCTGCAGGCACTGGAGAAGTGTGGACGCCGAGTTTCTCCTGAGTAGGGGAGGTGCATTGTTAATCGCACGCAGGGCCAGGCACCCAGCACAGCAGGCATAATAGCTCCCTCCACACGTGTCTTGGCGATGTCAAATCTGACGTAGAGCTCGAGGGCAGGGGGACACATCATCAGCATCGTCATCCCTTCGTCCGCGTCCTCGCCCCCTCATCATCATCATCATCAGCTACATCAGCACCATCAGCATCATCATAATCCTCCTCATCAGCATCCTCATCCTCATCATCATCATCATCATCATCATCATCATCATCATCATCATCATCATCATCATCACTGTCCTGAGCCGCCGCCGCCGCCGCCGCCACCGCCGCCGTCCGCGACAGCGCGCGGGGGCGGGCAAGCCGAGGCAAAGTCGACCTGGAGCCGGCCCGCCCTTTAGGTCCGCGGAGCGCTCTGCCCCGGTGCGCCGGGGGCGGGCGACGTTTCTCTCTCTCTCCCGCGGTAAGGGGGGAGCAGGGAGAGCGCACCCCGACCCCAGGAGGAGGAGGAGGAGGAGGAGGAGAAGGACGACGACGACGATGACCACGACGACGACGACGAGACGACGACGACGACGACGACGACGACGACGACGACGACGACGACGACGACGACGGCGGCGGCGACGGCGACGACGACGACGGCGACGCCGCTGCCGCTGGCGACGGCGACGGCGACGACGACGGCGATGACGACGACGAGGACGAGGACGACGCCGCTGGCGACGACGGCGACGACGACGACGAGGTCTAGCAGGAGAAGGTGGATGAGGGCAAGGAGAGCGAGGGTGGGGAGGGCGGGGGGCGAAGAGGGTGTGGAGGGCAATGGCGAGGAAGGGGGGAGAAGAGAGGAGAGGAGGCGGGGGGAAGGGGAGCGTTCCCCCTCTTCCTTTTCCTCGTAGGCATTCCTGCTCCGCCTCCCTCCTCCTGCTGGTCCTTCTCCTCACGCATTTCCTGCTCGATCTTCTCATCATCCTCACGCACTTCCGCGCTTCCGCTCGCGCGCGGGGAGGGGAGACAAGGAGGAAGCGAATGAAGAAGGAGTGGGATGGGGGAGAGGGAGGGAAATGGAGGAGGGAGATAGAGGAGAGGGAAGGGTGGGCAGGAGAGAGGAGGGAGAGGGGAGGAGGGGGACGATGAGGGAGAGGAGGGGATGGGGAGGAGCAGCAGGAGGGAGGGAGAAGGTCAGCAGGGGAGGGAGGGAGGGCGAGAAGGAGGATGCGACGGGAGAGCGGGGTGAGGGCGAGATGGAGGCAAGGAGGGATGTAGCGAAGGATCAATAGCTGGAGGATCGCGAATGGGAGCCGCAAAACACAACGTGGTAGGACCACCCTTTGGTGATCCTTTTTTTTTCATTGTTTTGCCGATCGGCGCGGGCCCTCGCACCCCCCCCAATGGAGTGGATCTTGGCTGTTTTTGACGCCTGTTTCGAGCAGGCGGGGTTCCTCCCCCATAGGACGCAATGTCGCAAACAGTCGCACTAAGCAGAAGTCCGGAACCAGATCCCCCCCCTCCCTCCCTTTCCGCCCAATGTCGAAACGCCGAATAATAATAATAATAATAATAATAATAATAATACTAGTAATAATACTAATACTAATAATAATAATAATAATAATAATAATAATAGAAAAAACGCTCACTTGCTGATGCAGCTCAACAGCCAGCGCGGCAGCGAGAGCGTCGTTCCGTGAGATGGAGGCTAGAAGGAATGTTCTGCATGCGGCAATGGTTGCAACGGGAGCTACATTTGTGCGGATGCAAGAGTTCGGCCAGCGCTGCGGCGAGAGCGGTGTTCCATTGAACGGGGAACTCGTGGAAAGTCTGCAAAGTGGCAAACGGTGCAGAGTGAATACCATCTATCTTGATGCAAGGATGCGGCCGGCAGTGCGGCGACAGCGACATTCCTTTGGACGGAGGCTCTATGAAAATCCCCACGCGTGGGCAGGTTCTGCCCTGAAAAGCATGTCGGACATCGCAGCTGGGCAGTCGTGCGCGTGAGGACAAACCAGGTGCGGTATCTGCGAGAGCAGCTGGAAACGGCATCTGGTGAGAGGGGAGAGAATCAGGAGGGGAAAAACACACAGACACAATGAATCGTCGATTCCCCAGAAAAGATGGGAAAATGTGGGAAGTGGGGGGGGGAAGAAGAAAACCCAGAAGAAACTAGAAAATATGGAGAATCCTGTTCTTTGTGTGTATTGATCTGCGTGTCCCAGGGCCCCTTCAGAGAAGTGTTCCTCTCGCGCAGAGTCGTGGGAAAGGGAGAAGGAGGAGGCGGGGGGGGAACGAGGCGGCGGCTCCTCCGCTCTCCTTCTTCCTCGAATACATGTCACTGTCCGCCTCTGTCCTCCCTCCTCCCCCTCTGTCCTATGTCTACTTCCTCCCCCTCCCTCCTTCTCCCTCCTCCTCTGTCCTCCCTCCTCCTCTGTCCTCCCTCCTCCCTCCCCCTCCCTCCTCCCCTCCTCGGATACTTGCCACTATCCTCCTCTGTCCTCTGTCCTTCCCAGATCATTGGATACCGAGTTTTTTGTCGGTCGCGATCGACAGCGACCGATTCGGCATCTCAAATCGGTCGCGACCGCTCCCAGAATCGGCCGTGGCCGGTCGCCACCGATCGCGACCGATCGGTCGCGACCGATTTTGAAGCAGAACGGTCGCGACCGATACCGAAATGGAAAATGCCGGCATCAAATGATCTCGTTGGTCGCGGCTGGAAAATGCCGGCATCAAATGATCTGGGTTGGAGTTGGTGGGATACTCTGTACACCCGGGCCGCAGGAGGCTCTGAACAGCACGAGTGCGCAGTGGAGAGAAGCGTGATCGTGCATCTCGACGCGCGGGAGATCATGCGGGAGACCGGGCGCGAGACCACACGCGAGACGTCACCCGAGACCCTGCGGGAGACCGTGCGGGAGATCCGGCGGGAGACCCCACGGGAGACCGTGCGCGAGACTGCGCGGGAGGCCACGAGGGAGACCATACACACGAGACCACACGGGAGACCGATGCTCGAGACCACACGGGGGACCACACGGGAGACCGTGCGTTGAGACCCTACGGGCAGACCGTGCGTTGAGACCGTTCGTTGAGACCGTGAGGGGGCCCACACACGGGAGCCCTGGCGGGACACCGCACGGGAGACCGCGGGCCACCGACTCCGGATCCCGAAGGCCCACACCCGGCCTCAGAAGAGGCATGCAGAACGGATGCAGACGTCGTTCAGGGAGTCCAGAAGCAGCCATCACAGCAGACATCTTAGCTATTTATACATATATATATATATATATACACACACACCTATACGACCACCCTTCGGGTAATAATGAGGATGTGGGGGGGGAGGGGGGGGAACCAACATCTGACTCAATCGATCTCACTATTTATCTCACTCCACGGGACACCACGGGACACCTGTCGATCTCATTGTCGATTTCACTTTTTGGAACACCACGGGACACCTCGGGGCACCACATCGATCTCACGATCGATCCCATTATCGATATCATATCGATCTCACTATCAATCTCATTATCGATCTCAGTCAACGGGACGCCACGGGACACCGCGAGCCACCGCCGGACGGACGGACGGACGGGCGGGCGGGGGAGAATCATTTGTCTTGACTTCGCCCCAGCAACGGCGGACACCACGGGACACCACGGGACACCGCGGGACACCGCTAGGGCCACCACCGGACGGACGGACGGAGGATAATCATTTGTTTTGATTTCGCCCTAGCAACGGTGGACACCACGGGACACCGCTAGGGCCATCGCCAGACGGACGGACGGAGGAGAATCATTTGTCTCGACTTCGCCCCAGCAACGGCGGGTTCATTCCTCTCGCGCGCCCACGCAGGTTCGCCTCGCCCGCACTCACGACACGAACGAAACGAAACGATTTCCCGGTCGGGGGTCTCCGTTCCACTGCGATCTCACCCCCCAACCTCCGATATATACGCACAGCAAGTAGAGGTTACTCGTGGGTCTTTGGATGACTCCAGACGCCACATGCCTCCAGACGCTTCGGGATCTCTTGGGACCTGAGAGGTCCTGCTACCCATCCTCCTTCGTGTTCCCCTCCTTCTCCTCCCCTCTCATCCTCCCCATGCATGACCTTTCTCCTCCTTCTGCTCCTGCTCCTCCCCTCTCCCTCTCCCCTTCCTGCCCTCCTCCTTCCCGTTGCCTCCTGCTGCCTCGTGCCTGCTGTTGCTGCGCCTGCGCTCTCTTCTAATACATCTTGCCTCTTGCTGCTGCTGCTGTTACGCCTGCTCCTCCATCTCCTCCCCTTCGAATGATCAAAATCACCATCATTATAATCGTCATCGTCATCCCCGTTCGCGGTAGCATCATCAGCACATGCATCATCGCCATCAACCTTATCGTCGACGGAATCACCATCATCATCAGCATCATCAGCATCAGCGTCAGCGTCAGCAGCATCATCATTAGCACCATCATCATCATCATCATCATCATCATCACCATCACCATCACCATCACTAATACCATCTCCATCATCATCATCCTCATCATCATCGTCGTCATCATCATCAGCAGCATCATCACCAGCATCATCTTCACCTGCATCATCATCACGACCATCCTCTGCATAATCATCATCAACATCATCTGCACCATCATCATAATCCTCATAGTCGTCGTTATCGTTTTCGTCATCGGTATCGTCATCGTCATCACCATCGTCGTCATCAGAATCATCATCAGCATCATCTGCAGCATCAGCATCATCATCATCATCATCATCATCATCATCATCATCATCATCATCATCATCACCCCACTCATCCTCCTCCCAACCCCCTCCTCACGGAAGGGGCTGGAGGGGAAGCAATCCGGGGTATGCGCTTTCCTGTTCCCCAGCTTGTGCCGGCGCATGTTGCAGTTCGCGCAGACGCATGGTAACGCCACTTAGGATCAGAGCTGGCAGATCTGTCGTCGTGCAGCCCACTCCCATCTTCTCCCTCCAAAAAAAAATCGTTGACGGACCTGTCGGTACACGAGCTACGCGTCCGAGGAGGGGAATCGGGGGCCGAGGCTTGCACGCGTCTGGTGCCCGTTCTGGGCGTACGCATCGGGACGATCGACATGGGTACCGAAAGAGTGGGTGCGATGCCCGGCAGCAGCTCCTGTCCATTCTGGGCAGGACTGCAGGACTCGTTGTCCGCGCCGCCGCGGACGCTGTCCTCTCAAGACAAGCAGCCGCTTGCCCAGCAGCGGCCGCTGCCAGTTTTGGGCAGCATTTGTTGTTGGACGTTGTACACATTTTGTTTCCTGTACCTAGTTCGGGCGTCCAAAGCGGGGGCCTGCAAAGACTTCTGGGGACCTCGAGGGACCTCTCTGGAGATATCCAGACACCCCTGGAGAAGGCGGAGGAGTAGTTACACCTCTCTGAGAGTAAGGCATGGTAGACGCCGCAGGTCTAGCGGAATGCTTGACGAAATATATGAATGTAGAGAGAGAGGCAGGGGCAGAGGTTGAGTTGAATATAACCGCTGCCAGTATAACTAACAACGTAAAGGAAGCGTTTGCTTCAGTTGTCGAACTCATGGGTGGGTAGATGTGTAGAAGGGCGGGTTGGCTCGCCCCAGCGCCGCGCGCTTGCAAAAAACAGCTCTCGCTTGAGGCATCACCACGAGTTGTGATCATGTAGTCTGAGATACTCAACAGCTGCGTTAATGGAGGGCCGCTCCGTTTCGAAAATTGTCGCTCGCTTGATGGTGTCTTCTGTACGTAGAAAGTCTTGCTGTGTGAAAGTATCACGATTGTCACCCTCTACCAGAGGAGTTGCCAACAATGGAAAAACAAAGTCTGGGGACGATGTTTCAATTACACCTGATTGTTTATGATCATTGTTTGGCAATGTTTTACTGTTCTTCCCAAATCTGCCTGTAGGATAACATGCCCGACCTAGCACAATTACCAAACTGCTGGTTTCTCATTTTCTAGATCGCGCTCTCGATCCAGCGCCCGCGAGAACCTATTTTGAAAATGGGCCAGCTGCACAGTCGGCGGGTGACTCCTTGTGAGACCCGGTGCGCCATTCAGAAATACGCGGCCGCTCTTGAACGTACGATGGTCGGTACGCATTTCAGATCACACGGGGCTCTCACCATGCATGTCCATGGGGGCCTTGACTCTGGACTGTCTTCTGAAGGGTGCATACGCCGCACACGTCCCAAAAACAAGTGGGGGCCTCGCCTTCCCTCTTTTGCTCGGCGATCGCCCCAGGGCCAATCAATATGTGCACGTTCCCTGACCTACCAAGATGGGGCTTCGGACAGGGAGGGGGGTACTGCAGCAACGGTGGTGTGTACTGGGCTTCCTCTGATGGGCGTCCTCATCCTCCGCTGGGCATCTCTGGAAACCCTCAAAACCAGCGCTAGAGCCTTTGAACCTACGATAGCCTCCAAAATTCCCTTGAACTGCCTGTGCGTTCTCCCCTTCAACCTTCGAAAACACCCGAAGCCCTCTAAGACCGAGCATACTCAAGAACCTCCTCCTCCTCCTCCATAATGCCCCCCTCCACTTGGCCAGATCGCTTGATGGCGACAGCAGGCCCTCGATGCGAAGTGATTGATTGCCTGGATTCTCTCAGCCAGGTTCCGAATGCGAGCAGACTAGCAATGCGATGCGAGGGCTTGTCAGTAGACGATCGAACGGGATTTGAAGCGTGTTCGCTCGTTCATTCCTCCTCCACCTCGTCCTGCAACGTTATGTAGCGTTCCTTCTTGCAGCAGTTTGATTGTACCCTGTTCAGCGGGCTGGTTCCTTACTCGATGGGGTTGCATAGTGCTGCGGCGTTGCCTTGCTTCGTTTCCGATCCACGAAGCACTCGCTGTTAGGAGGAGGAGGAGGAGGAGGTGGAGGAGGAGGAGGAGGAGGAGGTGGAGGAGGAGGAGGAGGAGGAAGGGGAGAAGGAGGAGGATGAAAGGGAGGAGGAAGCTTGTGCGCGTGCGTGTGCACGTGCTTTCTTGCACGCACTTGTTGACCCAAGCAAACGTGCACGCGTACCAACTTGTGTGAGCGCGAAGTGCGGCAACATGCCGACGCGTTATTCCTGACAGGAGGCTGATGTGTCGCGTTGAGTCGGCTACCAGTTGCACTCCTCCTATGGGCGAGGGCTTCGTAGACAAATGATCTCCTACTCCTCCTCCTCCTCCTCCTCCTCGACCACCTGCTCTGCCCCGGCACCAGTTTTACTACCAAGTGCCCATCTTCCAGTTGTTTGTTCGATCTCCTGCGAAGGCGAACTGCCTGGAGACAATTGTGGCAGCGTGGGCTGCTCTTGCGGTGGCTTTGTATTTGCCTCGAGGAACTCCGCTACATTTCTGCGACCCACGCCATCCAAGTAGCGTTAAGCGCGGGGAGTGATGGGGGCGCAACGAGGCAAAGGTAGAGCGGGAGCTGAGGAGCAGGGGAGAGGAGGCATATGCGCGCCCACAGGGCCAAGATGTCACAGCGAGCTTGTTCCACTCTACCTATAAAAAGGCGATGCGAAGCAACGATTTACCTTCAACATGGATGTTCGCGTTCGACGCTGTAAAATACGTTTTGGGAGGTGGAAGCGGGACTCCGCGCGCATCGCTTGCGAACGAGCTACATGTCGCGTTCGCCTCAGCGCCGCGCGGATTGTTCCTGAGAGTTGCGTTTCTGCTTGGGCGCGGCGTATGTGTTGAGCCTGCCCAGGCATTGGGGGGCAGAGCAACGAGCGAGAAAATCGCATGTTTTGTGATCGCCCCGGCGCCGCGCGAATGCATGTTTGGAAGTTGTGTTCCCGTCGGGGCGTGGCGCATGCCTTTCGCTCACCATGGTTGTCGAAAGTGGGGCCACGCGCGAGCGAGTCGTTATTCTCGCCCAAGCGCCGTGCCGAATTAGTTTACAACGCGGGCTCCCCATTTGGGAACGGCGCATGCTTGTCGTTCGCTCAGTCGTCGGAAGGGGGGCCGCGCGTGAGAGAGCAATACACTGTTCTCGCTTCGTTACCGCGCAAGGTTTCCCGAAAGTTGCGTTCCCGTTCAGGCGCGGGGCATGTTTGTCGTACGCCAACTCGTCGGAGGACGGGGTCGCGCGCGGCTTGGGGACGGTGCGTGCCTACTGTTCGCCGATATAGCTGGAAGCGGGCCGCGCACGAAGAAAGGGCATGTCGTCCTCGCTTACGTTTCGTGCAAAGTGTTCCTGACAGTCATGACCCTCTGCACCTCTCAAAAATCAACCGCCCAGGCTTGTCCTGGCGGCGCCCTCTGGCCAGAACTTCGAAGCGGGCCCAGACGTGGCGACGAGGGTCCCCCAGTGGTTTAGCAAAAATGTGTCTTCCCAAGCGATCTCGTGTTGAGTGTGGTCCCCACATAGAAGCAGCAGCGGCCCTGCCCGCGTCTCCCATCCTCCTTCCCCTCCTCCATCCTCCCCTTCCTCCACCCAGCCTCAGCCCTGAGTCTTCGAGCACGCTAACCTCAGCCATACCGCCGTTCGACGAGGACTTCACCTTCCTGCTTCTACCTCCGCGCGCACATGTCGACGCACCCCTCACACGTTTCGTGGCCACATGGGGAGCCCCACCGATGCCCCCAGAGGAGGGGGGTCGCATAGCGTCCCCCAGCCCACTTCGACACCCCTCACACGCCCTGTGGCCCCCTGGGGAATTTCACCAAAGCGTTCATAGGGGGGGGGGGCGGGGGGCGCAGACATCTCCCAGACACTGTTGGCACACCCGTCACATGTTTCGTGGCCCCATGTGGAGCTCCACCGAAGCCCCCGAGGAGGGTTGCATAGCGCCTGCCAGCGCATTTCGGCACACCCCTCACACGCTTTGTGGCCCTATTGTGATCTCCACCGAAGCCCACCGGGGGGGGGGGTGTCGCACAGCCTCCCCCATTTCATGTGGGCACACCCCACAGAAGCTTCGTGGCCCTATACGGAGCCCCACCGAAGCCCCCAAAGGAGTGGGGGGAGGGGGGCGCATGGCGTACCCCAGCCCATTCGGCACGCTGTTCGCACGTTCCATGGCCCCACAGGGTGCTCCGCCGAAGCCCCTAGGGGGTGAGAGGGCGCATGACGTTTTCTAACGAGTTCTGGCCCACCCCTCACCCGCTTCGTGGCCACATAGGGAGCCCCACCGAAGCCCCCAGGGGGGAAGGTATGGGGGGGGGCGCATAACGTCCACGCCCTCAGCCCATTTCGGCACACCCCTCACACGCTTCGTGGCCCCATAGGGAACCCCACCGAAGCCCCCAGGGGGTGCTACCACATGGCGTGCCAAAGTCTATTACGACACACCCCACACACTTCGTGGCGCCATAGGGAGCTCCACCTGAGGCCCCGATGGGTGCGTACACATGCGGCTCCCCAGTAGCACATCCCTCACACGCTTCGTGGTCCCAAAGGGAGCTCCACGCTGGGCCCCAGCGTGTGCGTCCACATGCGGCTCCCCGCCTCTTTCGGCACACCCCTCACGCGCTTCGCAGCCCCATAGGGAGCTCCACCTGCCTCAGACGTGTCATGGCCACATGGGGAGCTCCTCCTCCTCCTCTGTCCCGCATGCTTTGCGGTATTCATACTTACACATGGTTGGGTCCTGCGCCAGGATAATCTTATCTGCGCTCTGGAGGCCACGACTTTGCAGACGAGGACGTTGTGAGACCCAGCGAGGCGGAACGAAGAATCGATAACGGTTCAGCCCACGACTGAGTTTTCTCGGGCGCGCCGATGTCATGTATCACCGTTCCCGTCTTCGGGGGCCTGACTTCGTACTATATCTCGGCATCGCTTGGACGTGTGCATTATTTACGGTTGGACCATTCATGAGCATCCTGGACCATCTTTCGAAAAATACACGCACGAAACCGAAACATTCACGGGGATGGACGTCCGAGCGACGGATAAGGTGTAACATCTCACCAGATGTTGACCAAGCAGGCACCCTGCCATATCGACCAGCGCATTACCTCTCTGTGTCTTCGAGAGGGCGCTGCTGCAGCAACGTCTGCTGGCCAGCGCCCGCTGGGTCCGGTCCTGGGTCGCCTTAACGAAAAGGTGTTTGGCTGAAGTGGCCTCTGCCCACACCCCATCGTTCGGGACTGGGACGAGGATATACAATCCGTTCCAGAGCGTTCCCGAACGCTCTCAGAGCGTTCCAGAACGCCCTGAGAAGGCCGCGGCGCCCGATGCATCCTCCAGAGCCGCCGGATCTCAGACATGTTCGAGTCTCATCCTCACCCGAATTGATCTCCTCGTGCTGGCTTCGTATTACCCGATTCCCACTGGGATGATGACCGTCCGCACACCGATCCTTGAACGTCCCTCCTCGCTCCTCCCTGAGCGCGCCGGTGGGCGAACGTCCCTCCCCGCTCCTCCTTGAACGTCCCTCCTCGCTCCTCCCTGGCGGGGCGAACTGCCGGCGGGGTTTGCGCGGGCCGGGCCCAGCCTGCCGCGCGGCGCGCCCCGGGGTGCGCGCGGCCCCTGCCCGCACAGCACCGCCTCCGAGCAGGAGGGCCCCCTGGCGCAGGAAGACCTCGGGATGGCTCCCAGAGGGCTCCTCCCTCCCTCCCTCCCTGACTCCTCGCTCCTCCCTCCTCCCTCGCTCCTCCCTCCCTCGCTCCTTGAGCGTCCTTCCTTCCTCCTCCCTCCTCCTCGCCCGGCCCCCGCGCGGAGGTCGGCACGCGCGCGCGCCGGGCGCAACCGCCAATCGTGCGGCCGTGGCCGCGCGCCCGAAGCCCGCCGAGCGTTCCCCGAGGAGGCGCGGCGCCGCGGCCTCGCGGACGCCCCCCTCTCGGAGGCTGCTGAAGCTGCCCCCTGGGCCCACGGAGCCGCCAGCTGTTCGCTCCATGTTGGAGCCCCCGGGGCCCTCTGGACCTCGTGAGTGGTGCACCTTGGGTCTCGCCTGGGCCCTGCTGGACGTGCTGTCGGTCACCCTCGTGGCGGTGGCGGCGCCGCCCTCTGCGTCCGGTGTCTTCGCCGACGACGCCATGGTCGCCGCCGCAGGAGGAGGAAGGGGGAGGAGGTGCAGGAAGAGGAGGAGGAGGAGGAGGAGGAGGAGGCCGTGGGAGCCTCCTTGACAATCCTGGGGGGCACCTTGGGCCAGGGGCACTTCCAGCAGCACCTGGCGCCCTCGGCGACTGGTGGCAGGGTCTCGTGGTCCGGCGGGCGACGAGGTTTCGCGGGCGGAGCTCGCCATGCGGGAAGCAGGTCCGCGGGCGAAGTCTCGCCTCGCGGGCAGTGCTTGTACGCGGTGAGGGGGGAGGGCATGCCCGGGCGCAGATGGGAGGCGGGCGGGCGGGAGAAGGATTGTCTCAGTCCTCCTGCTCCTCCTCCCTCTTCTCGTCCTGTTCCTTTCCCCTCCCCTCGCCAATGGGGGACACGGGTCCCGAGTTTGCTCGCCGCTTTCGGGCCCTCGGGGCCCTCCACTGGCCCTGGGACTGCCAGAAAGCGACTCGGGATGAAGATCGCGTCCTGGGAGAAGACCCGGGGCCCAGGACCCGTTCCCCTCAGGACCCGGGCCCCCCCCGCTGAGGAGCCGCTTCGGCGGGCGAGGCGGCCGAGGGGGCGAGGCGGTCTGGTGGGGGCTTGGGCGAGGCGGCTTGGCGGGCGAGGCGGCAGGGAGGGGGGGGGGCCTCCTTGGGACGAGGCCGCGCCTCCGCCACGCCTTCTGCGAGGTGGGGTGGGGAGGGGAGCAGACCTCCAGCGTTGTGACAAAAAAACAAGGAGGAGGTCTTTCGCCATTCTAGGTCCTCAGGGGGCCATGTCCGAGTCCAGGGGCCATAGAAAGGAACAATCTGGGAGGAAGACGCAGTCCCAGGGAAGGGGTCGAGAGATCCAAGGGCATTATGTCATGTACGTCTTCAGTCATGCATTCATACATACATATGTGCATATATATACATACATGTATATATATACGTACGTACGGACGAACGCACGTACATACATACATACATATGTACGTGCATACCTACACATATTCCTGCATACAATATACCTACACACCTGCATACATACATACATATAAACCTACATACATGCATGCAGACAGACATATATGCATGCACGCATATATACACATACCTACATGCATGCATGGATACATGCATAGGTGCACATCTACATACACGCATATCTACAGACACGCCTACACACATGCATATATGCATACCTGCCTACGTGCATGGATGCATACATCCATCCGTAGATACACACATGCACACATACACACATGTACAATACATAAATGCATAGACATACCTACTGACGCGCCTATGCACACACATACATGCATAGGTACATACGTATATGCAGGCAGGCATGCAGGCATGTATGTTGACATACACACACATACATGCACACGTACATGCGTACACACACCTACCCACACATCTACATATATGAATACATATATATATACATACACATATGCAACCGCATGTGCATACACAGATGCATACTCATATACATCCACATTCACATATATACGACAACCATATATACAATTACCTATACATGTACCTTCACCTGCACATACACCTATACATAAGCATACATCAATATGTGCATACATGCATACATATTTGCCTGCATACATACATACATACCGATCGACCGCCATGTCTATATACTTGCATACATCCACGCGTACATACATGCATACATGCATACATACATACCTGCATGCGCACCTACATGCAAACCTACGTACATACATACACACATGCATGCAGACATTCACATACCCATGCATACAATCACACATACATGCATACATACCCACGCACCTGTAAACACTGGTCTACATACATAAATTCATAAACACGGGTCTAGATACATAAAATCATACCACATGCATGCGTGCATGCATGCATGCATACATGCATGCATATACACATGTACATACACATGCCAGCCGATCCACCTATCTACATACACATGCATATATACATACAGCTGCATCTACATAGACTATACATATACAGAAACACATACGTATACCTACACACATATGTAGACACATGCAAGTACACGTACAGCTACATATACATGTACATACATATATATAGACACATATAACAGCATGCACCAACATGTACACACATGCATGCGTACCGACGTGCATACATACATACCTACCGACCTGCCTGTCGAGTTACAGGCATAGATTAGCATGCACATGCACGTGTACATAACAATGTCCAAATCACACACATACACATATGTATACGCATAGCAGTGGCCATACGCATATACGTACATGCATAACGATATGTACAATGTGCACACACGTATACGTGCACGCATGCACTTATGTATAAACATGCATGCATATATATAGTTATGAATACAGAAGTACACACATACATACATGTATGTATATACATATACTTGCACATGCATACCTGACTGCATTTATATAACTATAACCATAGCTAAATAAATACATGCATACGCACATGCATGCATACAATCGTACATATGCGTGCATACATACATGCATGTATGTCGGCGGTGCCCGGTGCGGAGCGAACCCCCCCCCCCGGTAATCTCTCCTGGGGGGTTTCGAGCTGGCGCCATTCCCGGTGCGAGCCTGCACGAAACCCCCCGGTAAACACGACCTCTGGTAGGCTGCACGAACCCCCCCGGTAAGGACGCAACCCCTCCGTAAGCGGCGCGCTCCCAGCACGCGCGAAACCCAGCCCCGACGCGCGAATCTTACCAGGACGGGCCGGAACACGGCGGCGGCATTGCATCCCAGGGCCGTGCCAGAACACGGCGGCACTGTTCTTCTCTACGCGGCCGTGCCGTCGACCCCCCACAGCGGCTCTCGGGAGTTGCGCCGCAGCCTCTCGTATTGTGGCCACGAGCCACAATACGAGAGGCTGCGGCGGAACAAAGGCGAGCAGACGCGAATAGAGAACACAAGGCGAGCACACGCCACACTTCGACAGGGAGCCACCCTTCCCAACCGCCCCCCTGCCCCCCCCCCAACCCATCCCCCACTCCCACCCCCCCACTCCCACAGGGGGGGGGGGGGAGCCCAGGTAGACGCAGTGCGGCCTGCACGAACCCCCCCGGTAAAGCGGCAAGGGGGGGGTGTTCTAAGCTGCTGGCGGCACCCGGTGCGGGCTGCACGAAACCCCCCGGGAGTGCACGAACCCCCCCGGTAGTGCTGGGGGGGGGGGTTTCGTGCCACGGCGCACCGCCGACATGTATACATGTATGCATGCATGCATGCGTACATACATGCATACATACATCAATGCATGCATACAGTATACCATGCTATACCAGGTTATGCTATAGTGCAGTAGCGGCCTTCGACCCATCCCGCCACCGTGTGGGCCGTATGCCGCTAGGATGTGTGTTGGGATGTCGCGGGAGGCCTCTCGGGGGCCTCTGGGGGCCATTTGGAGGCGTCTTCTGGGCCGCTGGGGGGCGTCTTCGGGGCCTCTTGGGGGTCTCTTGAGGCCTCTTTGGGGCCTTCTAAGGGTTTCTTGGGGCGGAGGATTCGGGTTTTCGGATCGTGCTGCCCCTCTTGGGCTCTTCCTGGGGCTGCCTTTGGGCAGTCTTGGAGCCCTCTTGGACCGAGTTGGGGCCTTCCTGGTGGCATCTTGGGCCGTCTTGGGGCGGTCCTGGGGGCCTCTAGAGCAGTCTTGTGGCCTCGGGGGCTCGAAAAGTCGAGGACCCCATAATCATTAAAAACCAAATGGGGAATCTGTGAGTGTGGCATGCCAGGGCCCTCTCGGGAAGGCTCTTGGGGCTCTCGTGGGGCTTCTCGGAGGCCCCTCAGACGCCATCTTGGGCGTCTTGGGGCGATGTGTCGGTGTCTCGGGGCGGGCTTGGACAGCCTTGGGGGCCTCTCGGAGCCCTCTTGGCCCGTCTTCTGGCCCTCTTGGGCCCGAAAAAGTTATGCGAGAAGGTGTCTCGGAGCCCAGGGGAACCGTGCCAAGCGCAGGAAGATTTGAGAATTTGGGGTCTGGGCCCTGAGGCTCAGGGACTTGTGGGCCGATTGGGGGCCTGCTGGCAGTATCGGAGGTCATCTTGGGGCGGAGGGCTCGAAATGTCAGTTCGTGTTCCCCCTCTCATGGGGCGATCTTGGGCCGTCTTGGGTCATTCTTGAGCCATCTGGGGGCCCTCTCCGGGGCTTCTTGGAGCGATCTTGAAGGACTCTTGGGCCCTCTTGGAGCGTCGGAAGCCCGAAAAGGCGAGAACGCTAGAATCCTTCAAAAAACCGTATAGGGAAAATCAATGTTTGGGGCCCTCTTAGGGGAGGGCTCTTGGAGCTTTCTTGGGCCGTCTTGAGGCCCTCGTGGGCCGTCTGGAGGATATCATGTGCGTCTTGGTGTCAACGTTCGGCGACTCGGGACCAATCCGTGAATCTGGAGCCTGAACCCTTACATCTTCAATCCCAGGACGGAGGACGGAGAACTCGAGGGACCTGAGGACACTCCAACGTATGCCTCAGGGCACGGTGGCGAATATCTATGCAGAAGTACGCTCATGTTCCGTGAGTCAGTATACATCGGTTGTTGCGAACGTGAGTATCTGCATGTGCAGCTTTAGGTGGTTACCTATATGGGCATACATGTGTATACACCATCACCCATACAAGGCATTACCCACATGGCTGCTGTGTTCGCATACATTTGCATTTCTGTACACTCATGCATAACACGCAGCATGTACACATGTATATTTACATGTATAAGCACAAACATATATAGACACCCAGATCTGCCTACAGTCTAGATATATACCTACGACGGATGCGGCGAGCCACCGCCGCCTCCCCGTGCCTTTAGAAACTTTGCGTCGTGATATGTCGCGCGAGAGTGCGGCCACGTTAGTGGATTGCGTGCTTCCCAACGTCTGCGAAAGCAATTGGGGAAATGCCGTCTTGGGGCTATGCTTGGGCCTTTGAGGCCTTCTTGGAGTCATTCGGAGGCATTCTTGGCTTTCTGGGAGCTCTCTTGGGCCCTCTAGCGCCTTCGAAGGACGCCTTGGGGGCCTCACGTGCCCGCCTTGGGATTATTGTGGAGCATCGAGAGTGCGAGCAGTGCGTAGGTAGTGAGATCGGCAGATATCCAGCTGCTTGCGGCAAGTCCCGCCACCGTGCCAGCCAGGCATTCTGGATGGCGATTGCTCCAGCGGGCGCAGGAGGCCGTCACCTGTGACACCTCGTGCCTTCAGGCTTGGGACACCCGTGATGAGGATTATGAAGATGATGAGGGTGGTGACGATGATGATGTTGTTGCTGATGATGAAGATTGC